TTTACAATTCTAATTGTCATTCTGCATGCATGCATAACTGAGATCACTAAGTTAAGGTTGCATTGTCACACTGCTCCCCCTCTTACAACTATTCATCCCGAATAGGTGGTCAGTCTCATTTAGTATTCAGTTTAGTCACTTCAGATAACGCCAAAGTCTGTTTCTGTGAACCACACGCGGTTTTTCCCGAACTGATTTTTGCACTCTATACAGCAGTTCATTTATTTGCTTCAAAACCAAATAAGGTCCGTCCCAATCACATGCTAGTTTCGGTGATATTCCCTTCTTACGTTTTGGATTAAATAGCCAAACTGAATCACCAGATTCAAAGATCTCATTGGATGCACCAACGTCATATATTTTTTTCATTCTATCACTTGCGACTCGGATTCTCATTCGAGCAAATTCGTGCGTATTTTCCATTCTCCTTTGTAGGTTTGCCACATATTCATCAATATCTGTTGGTTGAGTGTCGGGCGGTCTGCCAAATAATAGATCAATAGGTAGATTTAGCTCACGTCCAAACATCAAATTGGCTGGTGTCTGTCTTGTACTCTCGTGGACAGCGGAACGATAAGACATCAATAGCAACGGTATATGGTCATCCCAGTCCCTCTGGTGCCGCTCAACAAAGATTGCTAACTGGTTCTCTAATGTTCTGTTGAATCTCTCCACCATACCATCCGATTGTGGGTGAAGAGCTGTTGTTCTTGTCTTCTCAATCCCCAGCAACTTGGATACTTCCGAGAATACGGCGGACTCAAAATTTCGACCCTGATCTGAATGGAGTTGAAGTGGAACACCAAACCTTGAAATAAATTCGTTCACAAGCACTTAAGCTACTACGACGGCTTGTTGGTTCTCTAAGGGATACGCCTCCACCCACTTCGAGAAATAATCACCTATAATGAGAAGGTACTTGTTCCCTCTTGTTGAAGTTGGTAAAGGTCCAAGTACGTCAACAGCCACTCTCTCCATCGGGGCCCCCACATTAAACTGTTTCATAGGTCCTTTGGGTTTTCTCGTGGGGCCTTTTCTCGAAGCACACCTTTCGCATCTTCGGCACCAATCCTCAACATCTCTTCTGCAACCTGCCCAGAAGAATCTTTCTCTAATTTTTCCAGGCGTTTTAGCAATTCTGAAATGTCCTCCAGTTTTACTGTCATGGAGTTGCTCTAATGTACTGTTTCGAAGGTTTTTCGGTACAATCAGTTGTCTTAACGAATTGTTCGGAGACCCTGTGTCCAGGATAGTTCTAGAGACTCCCATTGTCCCCAGTATACCTTCACTCCTGGACTATACGACGACACGTCTTCCCATGAGGGTTTAGCATTAGTTTCCTCCATCCATGTAACTATAATCCGTATATCAGGATCTTCCAATTGGGCTTCTCTCGCGAAAGGAAGTTCGACGGGTTGGTCTGGCGAATCTGTAGACACAGTTCGTATCCTATTAATTTCCTGTTCACAGCTACTACACGCGGAATCTTCTTTGGTATTTGACTCGCGTATTTCCCTTCGTTCACAATACCGGCATCCGGTTTTACCACACGGTCTTCTCGATAGCGCATCAGCATTATTATGCATGTTCCCTTTTCGATATTTAATTTCGAAGTTATATTGGCCGAGTTTTTGCACCCATCTGGACATCTGTCCTTCCCGATTCTTAAAATTCAGCAGCCATTGAAGAGAAGAATGGTCTGTACGAACAAGAAATCGGCTTCCATAAAGGTAGGCATGGAAATGTTCGACAGCTTGAACCACGGCTAACAGTTCCCTCCTAGTCACGCAATATTGCCTTTCTGGTCGACTTAATGTTCTGCTGAAGTAAGCTACTGGATGTTCCACTCCTGCCACGATTTGTGATAATACTGCTCCGATCGAAACTTCACTGGCATCCACGTCAATAATGAAAGGTTTGCTTACATTGGGATAGATGAGAGTTGGAGATCGAGTTAAATGTTCCTTGAGGTATTCGAAGGCCCTTGCACATTCCTCGTCCCAGCAAAAGGTCACATTCTTCTGCGTCAATGAATGCAATGGTTTTGCAATCTTTGCGAAATCCGGTACGAAACGTCTGTAGTATGAACAAAGTCCGAGAAAACTACGAAGTTCGTTGACATTGGATGGGCAAGGCCAAGATTTAATCACGTTTACCTTCTCCGGGTCTGTCTTTATTCCGTCTCCCGACACCACATATCCCAAATACGTAACTTGAGTTTGAAACAGGACGCACTTTTTAGGGTTCAATTTGAGATTAGCGCTGCGTAATTTCTGTAACACTAGTTGTAAATTGGCTAGTTGATCATCGAACTCTCTTCCAAGTACAATTATATCATCCAAATACACCAGACACGTTTTCCATGGCAACTTTGCAAGGGCTGTTTCCATCAATCGTTCAAATGTCGCCGGGGCGTTGCATAGTCCGAAAGGTATCACGGTGAATTGCCAGAGACCTTTTCCAAATGAAAACGCTGTCTTCGCCTTTGAAGCAGGATCGAGTTCTACTTGCCAGTAGCCGCTTTTCAAGTCCAACGTAGAGAACCAACGGGAACCATTCAAAGTGTCTAATATAGTGTCAACCCGAGGGAGTGGAAAGGTATCTTTGCGCGTGACGTCATTAAGTCGGCGATAATCGACGCAGAACCGGGTACTTCCGTCTTTTTTTCTCCACGGACCTGTAGATGGTTCAATTATACCATGTCGCTGCATATTGTCCACAGCCTGCTCTGCTTCTTCTCTTTTGGCAATGGGGATTCTTCTAGGCACCTGCTTAATTGGAACTGCGTTGCCGGTGTCTATTTCGTGCTGGACGTTCTTTGCACGACCAATGTCGTCTGCTCCCTTCGAAAATACATCTGAATAATTGATAAGAACTTGTGAAACTTTATTTAATTGTTCTTCGCTTAGTTCTTTTGAAGTTTTTTCGAGCAAAGGTTTCAAATGTGCGGGTAGAAGCACATCTGACGATTGTTCACCATCTTTATCTGCGCGAGGTCGTAGGGTTACACTAGAAACCGGTTCACAAACTGCAAGTTATAGTCCCTTTCTCAACTTTTGTCTTACAGGAGTGAGATTCGCCACCCGAACAGGGATATATTCTCTTTCTAAATCAACTAGAGTTCGTCCAATCATGATCCCGCTATTTCGATTACAGAAGCTAGGTGGTCCTACTGTTCCCCAATACGAACACAAACTAGGAATGTCTGCTTTAACTGGAATAACCATCTCAGTGTGTCCTGAAACTTTAACTGTTCGGTCCAAGATTAATCGGAAACATTTCATCTGTTCTTCTGCTGAATGCATGGGAATCTCAGTTTTTCCAATGTGAAGCACTTGGTTGGGGTAATCGATTACACAACCGTTTCTTTTCAGGAAATCCGCGCCCAGTATACAGTCTTCTTGTATGTGTGCAATCCATACCGTCTGTGACGAAGTTTCTTCACCCAATCCTATCTGTACAGTTGTCTTTCCAACCACGGAAATTTTCTGTGCATCTAGACCTTTACCATGCTGCACCACATCATACAAGCGCGAACACAAAATAGTTACATCTGCACCAGTGTCTATTGTAAACTTCCAAGGAACGTTTTGAATAACGCCGTCTACAATGAGTGAACCACCACACACCTTTACGTTTTCACTGGGGGCTTCTTCTAAAACTTTCTCGGTCGGCCCATGCCCCTCTCGGACGACCACCTGTCGTTTCCCTGATGCTTAATGTTTCGGTCACCTTGACTGGTTTCTCCTCCTTCTCTGCCTTCATCAGTTTCCTTCTTGAATTCCTTTTCGATTTCTTCCTGTTTCACAGGACAATCATTCTGTAAATGACCCAGCTGACCACAGTTCCAACATCTCGGCGGGCGCCCAGAGGTTCGTGGAGGCGATTGACAACGATTCTGGTTTTTCATCTCTTTCAGCAACTGATCCACTAATTTCTCAAGTCGCTCGATGCTGCATGTTTCTTCACTCGTCTTAGGCGCAATACGGGAAGTCTCTTCAACTTGGCGCACATTCCATGAAGAGCCACTACGCTGCCATCTTTGACGGTGTTGTGAAGCTTGGTGAAAGGACTCTAACTCCATGGCGTTTTGAAGAGCTACTTGTAACGATGACGGTCGTAGCTGGCGAATTATTAATCGCATATCATCGTCGGGCAATGCATCGATAAAGTTATCTCTAGCAATGACGTCTTGCAGGTCTGTCGAAGCGTCAGGATATGCAGTTCTTGTTAAAGTTTCCACGCTTTCCGTCAATTCAGCCATAGACTCTTCCCTGTTCTTTCCCCGACATTTTAATTTCGCTCGCGCCAACTCCGATTGGTGGGCCATCCCAAAGCGGGTTGTTAAAGTACTGACCAACGTCCTGTAATCCCGTCGTTCGCGATCAGATAAATTGCCCAGCACCAAAGCAGCTTTTCCAACTAGAGCCGTGGCCAGGAAAACCGCTTTGTCATCTTCATTCCACCCATTAATTTCTGCTGCTATGTCGAACTGGGCTTGAAATACTTCCCATGACGAGTCCCCATCGAACTTCAGTGCCGTTTGAATAGGTTTCTGTTTTCTCTGCTTTGGATCACTCGATTCTTTCCCTGCGTTGGCTTCGCGTCTCCATTCCTGATTTAGTCTTCAAAATAACACTTAAATAACCATTTCCTGCTACCAAATTGTAGCGCGCAAGCCAACTTATCTTTTTGAAACACTGTTCTCAGCTTGGCTTGTAATAAGAATCAACACACTTTTTTTAGACACACCTAATTCTATCATGTCATCAGTCCCTGTCACGAAGAAGTCCCATGAGATGCGCATGCGCATTGCTGGTCAGTGTAAAGCGTTTGCTGCAAAGTAAAACACGGAAAGTGAGTATTTTGAAAAAATCCTGAGTTTGTACTACCAATCCGATAGATTTATTCACCAGAAATCGCAAGGGAAGGCAGGTAAAAACAGGGTAAGCAATTTGTGTTGTGTATTTTAGGAAAATATAGGTTCCTAATCCGAAAAAATGGACGAAAATCAACAACAACCGCCTTCCAAGGTTGGCAGTCCCACGCGGGACAACCAAACAACAATAGAAGGTGAAAGATTGAATATAGATGATACTCTAGTAGAAATTAACAAAAATATGAGTACGATGGCCAGTATTCTTGCAAAAATTCACACCCAAGGAGAATCAACTGGCCAAAACAACTCAAACAAGCCTCCACGAGGCAAGCGCCCGACGGGCAAAAAGAGAACCAATGTGGTCTCTGACGACTCCGATAGAGAAGGCCATTCGGAGTCAGAAATGTTGATTTCACAGTCGGAAAGAAAGTGACGACGTCGCACATACTCAGAGGATGAACTCAGTCTTTACGCTGCGGATAGCGCAGACGACTTAGCGAAATTAACAGCGTCCATGCAGCCACAAGGCGCAGGAGATGATGGGGGCGGTAACGCCGACGGCGTATCCCAAATACTAGATGACTTAGCGAAGTCCTTTGGCGATGATACTGGCGAAAAAAGTCCAGATATACAGCCAAAGTTGGCTGAAATTATCACAAAACGTTGGGGCAAAAAACTGACCCCTGAAAAATTGAAAGGGTTGTTAGATAAATATAACTCACCGGGAAACTGCCCATCGCTAATTTGCCAAAAAGTCAACCCGCAAATCTGGAACACACTAAGTCAGGGCACGAAAAAGTATGATGTTCACCTGTATAATCTACAAGAAACAATCATTAAAGCAGTGTTTGCTTCCTTACAAACAACCAGTACCCTAGTCCTTAGCGATCTGGGTACAGACCACGCACAATTAATGGGGCAATCAATTGATTCCCTTGCTATGTTAGCACATGCTCATGCACAATTGACACAACTGAGGAAAAATCAAATCAGACCATCACTGAAGGCAGAGTACTCAGCAATTTGCTCCTTAGACGAAAACCAAGAGAGTAAGTTTTTGTTTGGGGATGACTTACCCAAAGTCCTTAAGGAAGCAAAAGAATCAAGTAACATCAGCTCAACTGTCAAACACCACACAAAAACATATAAAAGAACCCCTTGGCAAGGGAGTGGTGCACATCACACCAAAAGTCAAAAGGATTTTCAGTGGAGGGGCCATCAAAAGGCCCCTCAAAACCAGGCAAACAAAAAGAAAAGATCATGGAAGCCACTTCCAGACAAGAAATAATATGCAAACTTATGCAAATTAAAGAAAATGTAAGTGGGTTTCACCAAGTCCTTCCATTACTCTTAGACTATCTTGACTATTCATGCAAAGTATTTAAAGCTGGCCAAGTGGCCAAACATATGGATGCCTGGGTAGGCATCACTAATGACAAAGAGATTTTAAAGAATGTTCAGGGTGTGGAGATAGATCTGATTGAGTTACCAAGCCAAACCAAAGCCCCAGTATCAAAGTTCCAACCTCATGAATTCCATCTAGTTGACGAAGCTGTTACTAAGCTTGTCAAAAAAGATGCTGTAAGAGAAGTAACCCCATCAAAGGGGCAATATGTTTCAAAAATATTCTTAAGACCAAAAACAGATGGGACACATAGACTCATACTAAACCTAAAACAGTTCAATGAATCTGTTGTATATACACATTTCAAAATGGACTCAATACAAACAATCATTAGATTAGTAGAAAAAGACTGCTACATGGCTACTTTGGATTTAAAGGATGCATATTACTCCATTCCAGTAAAGAGAAATGACCAAAAATTTCTACAATTTGAATGGAAAGGAATAAAATACCAATTCACTTGTTTACCAAATGGTCTGTCTAGTGCACCCAGAACATTCACTAAAATATTGAAACCAGTTTTGGCTACTTTGCATAAAATGGGGCATATCTCAACAGTGCATATTGATGATTGTTATTTACAGGGAAAAACGTATGATCAATGCATAGTTAATGTGATTGATTCGGTCATATTGTTTGACTCTTTGGGGTTTGTTGTGCACCCAACAAAATCTGTCCTAACCCCTTCGCAAGAAATAGTAACTCTAGGTTTCCTTATAAATTCGGTTGAAATGACAATCCGACTCACAAGAGATAAAGCCCTGGACCTTAAACAGGAGTGCCAGACACTTCTTAAATCAGAAAAATCAAAACCTATCAGGGAAGTTGCCAAGGTAATTGGAAAAATTGTAGCAAGCTTTCCTGGGGTAATGTACGGACCTCTGTACTACCGGTATTTAGAACGAGACAAAAGCCAAGCACTAAAGTCTGAGAAAGGAAATTTTGATGCACATATGGTTTTTTCTCCAAAAGCAAAATCAGAATTAAACTGGTGGGTGGCCAATGTAACCACAGCCTACCAGAGACTTGAAAGGGAAGCTCCCCAAAGCACAATTTATACGGATGCTTCACTATCGGGATGGGGTGCAGAATTTCAAGGGAATGCGACTGGGGGGAACTGGACAGAGGCAGAATCCAAAATGCACATAAATTATCTGGAAATGTTAGCAATTTATTTAGGTCTGAAGACCTTTTTATCTAAAAAAGTAAGATTGCATATCAGAATTATGTGCGATAATACAAGTGCCGTCAGTATCCTAAATCATATGGGAACTAGCCATTCAGACCCATGCAATGAACTTACAAAATTAATCTGGGAATGGTGCATACATAGGAAAATATGGATAAGCACTGTGCATATCCCAGGCAAGAATAATATAGTAGCGGATATTGAATCACGTAGAGATAAAAAAGAGTCAGAATGGATGCTAAATAAAGCATCATTGTCCGATGCTTTGGAAAATCTCAGAGCAGCACCAAACATAGATTTATTTGCCTCTCGAATAAACAAACAATTCAACAGATATGTCTCGTACCGCCCAGACCCTGATGCGGAGGCAATAAATGCGTTCTCACTAAATTGGGAGAACCTAAATTTTTATGCTTTCCCACCTTTTAGTGTGATACCGGAAATGCTAACAAAAATTCAAAAGGACAAGGCAGAGGGAATAGCAGTAATACCAGATTGGCCGACCCAATGTTGGTACGCGAAGGCCTACAAACTAATGAAGCAAAAACCCGTCCACTTGAAGAGAAGCAAAACCTTACTAATATTACCATCCCACCTCAACGAGATCCACCCAATATGGCAGAAACTAAATCTAATGGTGTGTCGATTATCCGGGAAAGCCTAGACAGATATGAATTATCAAAGACAGCAAAAGATATTCTTGAAGCCTCTTGGAGATTAGGCACAAGCAGACAATATCAAACATACCTGAGTAAATGGCAAGAATATTGCAAGGAACGTCGTTTAGATAGATTTGCACCGGGAATAGAGAATACTGTTGAATTTTTAGTCTCATTATATACATCAGGACTGGGTTATAGTGCCATTAATACGGCGCTATCAACAATATTAATGTTGGAAAATGGGATCAAATTCGGAGAACACCCCTTAGTATGCAGATATATGAAAGGAATATTCCAACTTAGACCAGCGTTACCAAAGTACACCCAGATATGGGATGTGAATGTTGTATTAACTTATTTGAAGACATTCGCAGAAACAACGTCACTGTCAATAAAGGATCTCACAATTAAGCTCAATATATTACTTTTCCTTACCACTGGGCAGAGAGGACAAACAATTCACCTAATAAATGTAAACTACATACAAGAGTTACCGAATGGCTACAGGATTACAATCCAGGAAAAGTTAAAACAAACTAAGCCAGGAAAACATCTAAAACCACTGGAGCTTTTGAACTTCCCAGAGGAGCCAAAACTTAGTGTAACCCTACATCTTAAGGAATACTTAAAGAAAACAAGTTCGTATAGAGGAGGTCATACCCAGTTACTATTAAGTTATGTTAAGCCTTTTAAACAGGTGACAAAAGAAACTCTATCCAGATGGGTAAAGAAAGTGTTAAGTTCAGCTGGAATAGATATGGATAGCTATTCACCACACAGTACTCGTGCGGCATCAACGTCCAAATGTAGAGTTAAGGGGCTGCAATTGGATGAAATCATGAAAACTGCAGGGTGGACAAATGCAGGAACATTTGCTAGATTTTATAACAAACCTATAGAAAGCAAGACAATAAACTTTAGCAAATCTTTGTTACAGATGTAAAATTAATTAAAAGTCAAAATTGTTGTAACTGTTGATATTAAACGGAGGATTATTAAACCTGTGTGGTTCGCAGTACATGAAGTTAAAATCTCATGGGACTTCTTCGTGACAGGGACTGATGACATGATAGAATTGGAAAATTAAACGAAACTTACCTGTAAGTTGAAGTTTGATTGGAATTCTATCTTGTCATCAGTCCGGAACGAAGGAGTCACATGCCCACAGGCCAACCCACCCCGATCCTTCGTTCCTTTCTCATGCACTACTCACGTTGAAAACTGACCAGCAATGCGCATGCGCATCTCATGTGACTCCTTCGTTCCGGACTGATGACAAGATAGAATTCCAATCAAACTTCAACTTACAGGTAAGTTTCGTTTAATTTTCCAATTTTATATATCCTATTTACAATTCTACTTGTCATTCTGCATGCATGAATAACTGAGATCACTAAGTTAAGGTTGCATTGTCACAGTGTTAACAAAGCATTGGAACACAGGCATATTGATCACTTGAATCTTCATTAACAGAAGCTAAAATACAAGATAACAAAGAGTAATATAACTAAATCAATTTATATGTAACTTTTCTTTGATAAATTTAAATGTACAACATTTGTTTACATTGCGATTGTTGGAATTCCATCCTAAAAAACAAAAAGAAACATCCATTTAGAAAGAAGCCATAAAATTTCCATACAATTATTATGATTTAAAAAGTGTTGTTATAGTACTAAAAGACAACCGGTCGCCATTTGTGTATAACACTAAACAAAACTCGGAACAATGAACATTTATAATCTAAAATAGAACTACTTTGCATAAATATTTCATAAATATGAGCAGTATTTTTAAAGAAAAAGATCTGTCCAAACTTTTGTCGCCCTTATTAACATTTACTGAATAAAAAGGAGGGGTTATATTTTATTGATTGGCATAAAAGAGGATGGATTTACTTACCTACGGCTACAATTGAATAGTAGTAATAGTAAACCTTTATTTAAACAGAGTAGTCCTGTCAGCGACAAGAGTCACTGCTATCAATAGGAGCTCTGATATACAAATAAGATAATACATATATACATATGATTATAATACAAGAGTTTAAAAATTTATAAAATCTGAGAATACTATGATAATTTAAGTTCATGTTCAATACAAACTAGACTAAAAATAGAAAGTCAATCGCATTGTTTAAGTTTATTATATATTGTAGAACCATTATAGTAGAAGCTTCTTTTTGCAATTTCTGTTCTGACTCTAGGCAGATGAAGATGGTCACCTTTGCCTTGTTGCACGTTGAGATATATTCTTATTAAACTTAAAGTAATTTCTAAAAACTTGCAGGCAATTGCCACCAATACATTTACTAGCTATATTAAAAATGTGATGTTCACGTCTGTTTAAAAGAGTTTCCCACTTCAAAAAATCAATTGCACTTAAATACCTAGGTATTTAAATTCAAAAACACGGTGAATGATGTGCCCGTGCATTCAAATTTGGAAACGATCTACATTTTTCAATCTAGTAGCAGTTCCAAATAACATTGACTCAGTTTTTGTGACATTCACAAATAAGCTATTTTCACACAACCACTCTCCGATTTTGGTTTAGATCATCGTTAAGTCTTTTTTCAATCTTAGAGACATCTGAGCTGGAACAGAATAATACAGTATCATCCGCATACATCAAAATGCTGCAGTCTCGAATTACCTCAGGATAAACAATAGAGGACCAAAGATTGACCCCTGTGGTACCCCTGAGTTCACTGTCTGATACGACATCATTAAGACCAACAACTTGGGAACGATCTGTCAGATAGTCATCAAACCAGTTTCGCTTGTGACCAATGACCCCGATAGTGGATAACTTACCAAGCGAAGTCATATGGTCAACGGTGTCAAACGCCTTTTGCAAATCCACGAAAACAGCACCTGTCATTTGACAAAGGTCAATGTTCTTCCGGATTGCATCAGCTGTTGTGAATTCAGTAGAATGGTCCTTCCTGAAACCTCACTGGTATGGACTTAAAAGATTGTGCTCTCGAAGGTATTTGACAAGCTGTGTATGTACAGCTCTCTCTAACAGCTTGGAGGCAACAGGCAAAATAGAAATGGGACAGTAATTGTCCATGCTATTAACATCACCTTTTTTGAACAATGGAACGACACGAGCTGCTTTCCACTCAACTGGTATCTTAGCCTGGTACAACGATGTGTTAATGATAAAAGTTAATGGTTTGGCAACAATACCTGCGGCATCTTAAGTAGCCGCGATGGAATATTGTCTAATCCAACTGCTTTACTAGTTTTTAAGAGTGCGAAGCTGGCGAAAAACAAAACTTTCTGGGACCGCATGGAACTCGAAGGGCAAGCACTGATCATTTACATAATGGCGGCCAGTTGTTTAGCAAATAAGCTCGTACTTATTTCATTATTAATACTTTTTATTACATTCTTCCTCGCTCAAAATCCAAACCACAGTGTATTTAACGATGTTTCTTCATTATTTGTGGGTTGTAAACTGGATATAAGATGTTATCCGAGTAGAAATTCAGGTTTATCTCGCCATGGCAAGACATTGTGTGCTGTGCCTACAACTATATCAAAAATAACGGTGTGTGTTCACTTGGTCAAGTTTTCTCTTGCTGCTGGATATCTTGTCCTCTTATCTAATGATGTGAATTTGAATCCTGGACCAACTGCTGGTGTTTTGGTGTGTCCATGGTGTGATAAATCAATTCGAGGAAATCAAGCTCGTTTGCACTGTGCATCGTGTGAACTGTTTTTTCATTTGAAATGTCTCGGAGCTGAATATGATCAGACTGGCTGTTGTCACCTATGTAGTTCTCTGTCACAAGGCTTGACTCTTGAAGATTCGCCATCCGATGAGCTTTTTCTCCCTGCTAAGCTACGTGAGATTCTGAAGCTACGTGGATTTAAGATTGTCCATCAAAATATTCGAAGTCTTAGGCGTAAAATTGATGAGATTTGTGTTATAGTTAATGAGTTAAGATCGGGACTACACGTAATTGCCCTAACAGAAACATGGTTAAATAAGGAGACACCAAATGCTGAGCTTTAAATCCTGGGTTACAATCTATTTAGAAGGGATAGAGGTGTTCATGGTGGGGGAATTGCTGTTTATGTTAAATGTAATATCTCAGTCACTAGAAGAGAAGACCTGGAGGATGCAAGCGTTGAGGGTTTGTGGCTAGATATATCTCTGCCTAAATCTCATGTATTCTTAGTTGGTACCTTTTATAGGCCTCCTAACTCTTCAAGTCATCATGATAAGGATTTTATGTTTAAATTGAATAACAACTTGGACATTGCCAGTAGTGCTCAGGGTAAAGAAGTTTTAATCACAGGTGATTTAAATGTTGATCTATTGGCCAAGAGAGATCTTATACTGGAGTGTAAGCAGCTCAGATCGATATTAAAATGTTTACAATTTAAACAAGTAATTGACAAGCCTACAAGAATAGCTCACAATTCCTGTACACTTTTAGACATTATAGCAACGAACCGCCTCCAGAATATAAGTAATTCAGGAGTTATAACTACCAATCTGAGCGATTATGAAATTACTTTCTGCGTACGGAAGATAAATTTGAAAAGGGCTCTCTTAGCCTTTTGGAAAACGATTAAAAAAATCATTCCTGGTGAAATTAAAGAAAGGCCTGTTCATGGGATGTGAGGAATAGATTTTTGGAATGTGAGCGACAGAGCAGTATTTTTAAGCGTGTCAACTCAACTGTCGTCTGGGAGTGAGTCAGTGACGTCAGCGAATTCCTTGAACCAGCGTCAGTATTCAGTGAACTGTAATTATGGCTAGCAGCAATTCCAGCAGCATATGTACACAATGTACACACATCAACTGTGCTGGTTTTGTGAACACATGAAGTATTTTCAGCAGCAAAATTACAAATCCAGCATTCGAGTGGCGTTGTCCGCATTAGTTGTGGAAGTTATTTACAGTCTAAAAACTATATAACAATGGAAAAGAAATACCAGTACAAAAAATTTGGTTAGAATATAGTAGGGTGGGATTGGAAGGGGGGTTACAAAAATAAAAGGATCATTACAAAAAAGCTTACCATTTGATGTTTTGACTTCTATATTCAAAGATACAGGGATATGCAGTATTGTGAAAATATATAGCATTGTAACTGGGTAACATGGCTGTCAAACTCAATAGTTCGTTTATAATGCATTGTTGTTTGTTGTCTGTGCTAACTGATCTAGCCTGTTTTCTTCTTTCAGCCTATATTGCGAATTAGCCGACGATTTCAAGCTTATTAACTGTTCATATGAGATGCAAGTGATTTAACTCTACTAATAGCAACATAAGAAACTCCAGCAGTTCTTTCAGATTTTCCAATATCTATCCATGCTTTTGGGAGTGTAAGACCTTGGCTCTTGTGTATTGTCAAAGCCCAAGCAAGCCTAAGAGGTAACTGTTGCCTCTCATGGAAACCCATTTCTGTCTGTGATGTGACAGTGATTGGACAAATTGGAATGCACAATGGTTGGCTTTCATTAAAAGCAGGTCCTCTATAGTTTTGAAATTCTACTATTACCACAATAGGCAAGTGAGGCGGTTGATGATTGTTTTGATAGACAATATCAATAACTGTTTTAGTTGCTCCGTTACAGAGGCCAACACTAGGCCACAGATTCATAGTTAACATGATCCAAGCACCCTTTGCTAGAAATACAACTGGTTCCAATCCAGACATATCATCTGCAGAGATTTTTCTTGCTAATTCTGAGGAATGATGTGCATTAATACGAGGAATTGGATGCTCAAGTTTTGTTAGTTGCTCATTATTGTAATTTGCAACTTGCTCATTGCTATAGAAAAGTCTAGTAGCATCCTCAAAGTCACATAAATTAGTGACATTTGATGGTTGGCGAGTCAGAAGTAGTTTCCAGTCCTCAACTGTTGACTCACCTTTGCAAAGTTGCAGCAATAAATATCTGAATTGTATTTGTTCAG